GTCTGACTGAAATAAAAATCAGCTCCGAATGGATTCAAATCAGATAGGAGTTTGCAAACGCACTGAAAGGGTCTGATTTGGAGCTGCACATACAGAAGCATCATACTGGGGAGGAGGAAGGTGACAATTCCTGTTTATGCATTTTTGGCAAGCTGCACCTGAAGGACGGGATGCTTTTCTGGAAACTGTCATGCCAGAAATACACAGCTAAACAGGGGGGACCTGACAAGAGCGAAGGGAATAATTAGAGACCTGTGGGGGTGGGACAGGGTCTCGAGTTTATTCTCTTAACAAAACCAAGCTATGCAATTGCTCTGCTTTTCTGTCAGTACGTCACAACAATATTTGAATCTCTCTACAAATTTTAAAAAAGCCTGACAAAAAAGGAGAAGCTTAAAAACACTGAGCTCCTGTGAGTTTTACAAAAATCAGCAGCCAGACAGAAGAGACTCAGATTTGTGTGCCCAGTAAAGAACAGGTGGAAGTGTGAACTCAGCTGCATTATTTGACACAAGAGAATCCAAAGCTGTCATCAAAAAGCAGGCTCCATAAGGTTTTCTGTCAATGGAACTGCTAGTTTGTCATTTAGAGGTAGGGACATTTTTTGCTTGTTTGTTTGTTTGGGTTTTTGCTTGTTTATTTTAAATAAAATGTATTTAAAAGAAGCCCAAGAGTTATGCCTGAGATGATTTTTAATATGTTCATTGCTGCAGAACCTTGGCACTCTTTATAAAATTATTCATAATACCAGTTCTTGTTGAGAACAAGTCCTGAAATTCCTACCTGAAATGAAATCCCTTTGGGCCAGTGTTTTCTCTCTGCCATGGGAAAGCGTGTTTCCATTTCTTCTCATGCTAAAGCTAGTTCTTACCCTTTTCTCTTTCTTGAGTACTGTGGTGCCACCAAACTTAAAGAAATGAAAAGTCATGAGTCAGATGCCAAAAAAATGCCTGCTCTTGAAAATTATGATATGTTGATAAAATATATTTTCATTTGGACTTGGTTAGTCTTTGAAATTTTAAAAATCCTTAAACTTCTTGAGAGAGAGAAGTCACAGTGTTCCACTTGCATTAACATATTGTGAGAAATTACTTTGAGCCCTTGGTGCTACAGGATATTTCATCTTTCATGGCTGTCCCTTAAATGGCAAACCCACCGAGCCGAAAACTCCACAGCTTTCACATTCCCAGTCTTCCATCAGTCTGAGAAAGAGAACCACTCTTCTAAACAAGGAACCTACAGGAAAACCCTCTGAATGGTTTGTTTCTACTTTCACTTTGCCTCATGCAAGGAAACAATCATGACTGCTTACAGGTAATGAAAAGGGAATATTGATGGAACTGAGAAATTTAGAATGTGGCATTTGGTCAATACAAAAGGAAGATATGGGGGAGAAGGAAGGTTCCTAAGACTGGGGGGAGGTCTAGAATCATAAAGAAATATGCATTGGTCATGCAAAGGGCATATGTTATGATGCCCTATGCAAGACAACAAGTGAACATTTGTTGTTATGTACTGAGAAGAAAAGGTCATGGATTCCATTATAATGGTTGGCTGTTCAAGTTTATGAAAGTCATTTACGTGATATGTTACAATCGCTATATTGATATTCCATTTCTAGATTTCACAGCAGTCTGCTCTAGACAGGACTTCAGAGAAATTGATCTAACAGAATGCCTGTCGGTGACAAGACTTCGGATGTTACTAAGCAAGGGTAACTTGTACTAACCAGGCAATGAAATTCTCTTGAAGGCTTTCATGTATCATTCCAACTTTGGGATATAATATATTGAACTACACTGGGCTTCCCACACACTGTTGATTGGACAACAGTGTCAGATGTGTCATCCTTACAAAATAAATGTGTTCAAATCAGAAAATGACCACTTATATTTGGAAATACTGTCAATAACAGCTCAGTCTTTTCATGGAGAGCCATCAAAAAATGAGATTACTTTTACAGTTTCTTCTTTATTTCTCTCTAATAAATTCTACTGCTTTTGTGCCAAAATAATGCAAAATCATTTGCTGTGTCTAGGACTTTTTAGACATAAGGAAAAACATTGCCAAAAGCCTAAGAGAGGTGAACCTTCCCATCTGCTCAACACTGTTAAAGCCACATCTGGAGTGACAATTCTAGTTTATTGCTCCCTGGCCCAAGAAATACATGGACATAGAGCAGTGAGTCAAGTGAAGGGCAAGGAAGATAGTTTAGGAATTGGAGCATGTCATATAAGGAAAGGCTGAGAGACGGAACTAGTTAGCCTAGAAAACAGAAGGCTCATGGGTATCTTATAGATGTGAGTAAATATCTGATGGGAGGGTGTGAGCAGCACTGAGCCACGCTCTTTTCAGCAGCGCCCAGTGATAGAGTAAGTGGCAATGGGCAGAAACTGAAATACAGGGGGTCTTGTCTGAACACAAGAAAACACTTTTTTACTATGCAGGTGACTAAGCACTGGCACAGGTTGCCCAGAGAGGCTGTGGAGTCCCCATCCTTGGAGAGATTCAAGGCCATCTGGATGCAGTCTTCAGCAACCTGCTCTAGCTGACCCTGCTTGACCATCTGGACCAGGTTGGCTGGACCAGATGTCCTCCAGTGGTGCTTTCCAATCTGAATGTTTCTGTGATTATGTGCTTTTCAGCAAAACAGTTTTTGTCACAATATTGGCTTGATGCAAATCTACACTTCAACTCCCATAACTTTTGAAACCTGTATTCTGCAAGAGTTTTCATCCGTCCCTTTTAAGTTATTAGAAACTGTATATAAGAACCTATATTCTTTGTGTTCATTTTGTATTTTCCTCAGAGCAGTAAGATTTCACGTGCTTGACCCAGTATAAAGCAATTAACACAAATACAGAACAGATATATATAACTATGTCAGTAATTAATAAGCAGAAAGGTGAGTAGGATAACCTCATGTAATATGTTCTTCATAAAATTATCTTGGAGATGCATCTTATGGTCTTAGATCTTTTGTATTTTGGTTAGTTTGTGCTTAAATCTGTGATTCATGAACACTTGCTCTAGTGAATGCAGTTACTTGAGCTACATCCTTTACTTGGCATATGCAGGACACCCCCAAATTATTTGAAGGATTGAGTATGGTCTACCTATGTATACCTCTAACAACATTATCATTATATCTAGTAGTACAATTCCAGTCATGTTTTAGTTATTTCTGATAGTAAACATATGGTGGTACTTCACCTTCTTCTCATAATCTTATTTTTTTCAGTCTTGCTTCCTTTAGTGGAAGCTTCCTTTGCTTCCTTGAAGTGGCTGCTTGTTGTTAATGAATGGATAAATTCTTCAGCACCAGCCTGTTACATGAAGGCTATCTTCCCTGCTGGTCACAGATGGTGGGAAGTGATTTTATTGATTTGTTAGTACTTAGCTAGAAGGATTACATCTAGCAGTAATAATGTGGCCAAGCCCTGGGACAAATCACCACACGAGTTAGTAGAGGGTTTGTGTCTTATACTGTGTGACATTATTATATTTACCAGCCTTTCATAGTGTTTTGCTTATTAACACCACTGTAATCTCTTCTGAGCCATCTGTCGGTCATTCAAGTTTCTGTTTTCTTCATGTGCTGGAAAAGTTGGGAGACTTCAGTTTCTGAACTGAACTCGGACATTATCCTACTAAAGTTCTGGTGGTAACCATAGTGCTTATTATGTTTTTTCTTTATAATTTGTGTTATCAAAATTGTGTCCCGCAGAAAATCTCTTGGGGGGACACAGGCAGATGGCCATAGTAATTCCTGTCAAATTCAAAGGGTCATGAAGGTTCATGGCTTTCAGAATTTGTGTGAGAGGTATTAGTGTGGCTGGGAGAAATCTGGTCCCTCTCCCTATTCCAAACCTGGCAAATTTGGCAGAAAGAAGCATTGAACACTGCCAGCATAGATTTTTTTTCTCTTTGGTTTGTGCTCATCAGATGATCTCTCTGGAAACCAGAGCTTTTTCCCTGCTGTGACCTCAGCAGAAGCACAACTGAGAGGTCTTAAGTATCAGCGTCTGTTAGGGGTAGTTCACATTTTACCTGAAAGTGCAGTTTTCTCTGTATTTTAACTTTGCGTTTCTAAGTAGCCTGAATGATTTCATTCACTGACAGGCACATGTGTGAGCAGAGGACACTTCAGAGCTAGAGGCATGAGCTTTTGGCCAGTGGATTACATGCAGATGATCGCCTGTACAGAAAAGCTGTTGCATTCATTACCAGCTCCTCAAAATGAAGTTACTCAGAGCTAGTAGACCAGAAACTGGACATGACGTTTTGTTTCACTGTGCACTAACCCCTCAGTTGAGCAGTCGGCACTGTGACATGTTTCGTCGACAGTTTTGGTGGGTCACAGTAGTTAAAAAATGGGTCTGATCGATAAAAGCCCTTGTCACCCGTATGGGAGGTGTATGTGGACCACGGCATGGGTGGCACTAAGGGGGTTTAAGAAGCGTATGAAGAAAGTGCTGAAGCGTGGGACTCCGAGGAAGGGACGGTCGAGCGGTGACAGCGCTGGCTTAAGGCTGCAGCTGGGGCCAGCACGGCTCACGCCCGGGGAGCGCCGGCAGCACTGGGAGCCCAAGGCTTACCAGCATCCCAGACAGCCCCGCAGCAAACCCGCACCCTCCTCCCACGGGTGGCCCTGCAGCCCTGGCGGGAACCCGGGCGAGCACCTGCGGTGAGGAAAGCTGGAGGAGGACGTGAGGAGGGCGGCGGTGCCGGGGCCAGCGCCGCGGCCGTGCGGCCGCCGGGCGAGCCCGGGGGGCGGCGGGGAGAGCGAGGCGCGGCCGGCCCGGGAGCCCGGCGCGGCCAGGGGCAGAGGCAGCGGCGCCGCGCCTCGGACTCCGCCTCACCGGCACCGAGCTCCCCTCCCTCTCTCGCTCCCTCCTCCAGCGCCAGGCTCGCAGCAGCGGAGCATCGCGGCGGCGGCGGCAGCACCCGCCCTTCCCGGCCGGCCGGCGGCGCGCACCGCCCCCCCGCTCCCTCACGCAGCCCGCCGGCGGCGATCCGGAGCCCTCCGCGCCACCGCACCCCCGCCCCGCACGCCCACCGCCGGGAGGATGGGCTGCGGGCGGCGGCGCGGCAGCCCCTGAGCTCCCCGAAGCCGCGGAAACAAAGGGAGCGAGCAGCGGCAGCACCGGGCCGGGGTGGATGCAAGCAACCATGAAAGGCTGGGTCTCCGCCTCCTCCGCTGCTGCCAGAGAGCTGCCGGCTGCCGCTGCTCGGAGGACTACCCTGTGAAGGGGGCGGAGGAGAGGCTGGCTGGGTTCGCCGTGCAAAGGTAGAAGGTGTAAGGGAGAGGCGGCAAGAAAATGTCTTCTTCGGTGGGGCCCCGCGGCCCTCGCCCGCCCACGGTGCCCCCCCCGATGCAGGAGCTGCCCGACCTGAGCCACCTGACAGAGGAGGAGAGGAACATCATCATGGCAGTGATGGACCGGCAGAAAGAGGAGGAAGAAAAAGAAGAGGCCATGCTCAAGTAAGCAGACGCTAGTCATTCATTCATTCAGGCACTCATTCATGCACCGATCGCCGGCGGGCGGAGCGGGCGCTGCCACAGCGGGAGGTGGCCGGTGCCCGAGCCGGCCGGCTCGGCGGGGCTGGCGCCGCGGAGCCCCGGTCCCGCTCCGCTCCCGGCCCGTAACTTCCTCCTCCCCCACCCCGGGCAGCTCCTCCCGAAGCAGCACTGCCGGGGGAGCCCGGCACGGCGGGACGGAGCGGGACGGCGGCCCTCCCCGCCCCGAGGGAGCCGGCGGCACAGGGCGGGCGGAAACCCCGACTCGGGGGTGAGGGGCGAGGTGGGATTCCTTTGGGGTCCCCAAAACCCCGCCTCTGCCAGGAGGGGCCGCTGGGTGGGGTTTCCCTCCGTGCGGGAGCCTCCGCGGCTGCCGTGCTGCCCCCGCCTGGCTCGGCCCCCGCTGCCGCCCGCCGCGGGGCTGGGGCGGCTGCCCCCGCCCGGCACACCCCCGGCCCCCGCTCCGCCCGCCGTGCCGCCGGCCCCGGCCCGCCTGCTGCCGGCTCCAGGGCGGGCAGCCACGGGCAGCACCGCACTGTGGGGCGGCAGGGCGTTCGTAATTAGGAAATAGATGGAATTAGTCGCACTGCTCATTCCAGCGGGCGGGCGGGCGTGCGTGCGTGGTGGCGGGACGGCGGGGGAGTGGGTTTATCCCGCTGCCGGCGGCACGGGGAGGGGTGCGGGGAGCGCGGGGTGTGGGTGGGTGCCATGTTTGGAAACCACATCCCCACAGCCTCTTTTGAACCTTTTCCCTCACCCCCTCGTCCCTGCCGAACATCGCATGTGATCACATTTTTTAGCCTCCTCCGTCAGTCGGAGGCTTCAAACGTAACGTTGCTGAATCGCCTACTGCGAGTGATGAGAATAAACAGATTGGAGTCGTGGCCTGTGGAGGAGAGTCACGGTTTCTCCTCTTCTGACAGCCCGTCAGGCCTGCTCGCTCGGGGCGGGAGGTGGTGGGAGAGGTGACTGGAGCCGTGCGAGCCTCTGACGCCACGCAGACCCTCCGTGCCACAGGAGGTGTATCCTTACCTCACTGCCGCCTGCTTGCGTGCACCTGTGCTCGGAAGGGATGCGCCGAAGGTGTGACGTGATCTGGGTGTTTCTTCAGGCTGCGTCGGAAATGCCCACTGGAGCCGTGCGGGTGCCAGCGCGTCCCCACGGCTGGGACCAGACCCCCGCAGGCTCCCGGCTTCGGCCCCGTGCGCTGTGCGGGCTGAAGCTGGGACGGCGTTTTAGTACGTTGTAGTACGTTGTTGTCCCTGTCCCTTCCTATTCGTTCTTGGCTCTGAATTTTTACAGGGGCTACTAGAGATCCGTGCAATGGTGGGTACTGAGGCCCAGCTGCCCAGCTGGGAGCTGTCCGGCACTGTGGTGCTCGGATCTCAGTTCAAGACGAAGAGTTCAGTTTGCTGTTGCAGTTCATTGTGCTTGGGGTGTGGCTACCCTTGGAGGTGGGGTGATTGGAATGAGAAATGTTCTGTGAGAATGCATTCTGTTAGTCCCTGTGGGGAAACGTGAGTGAAGGATCCCTGCTCAGTTTCTATTAATCAGAAAAAATTAAATAAAGGAGTAGCTCAAAGGCTCTAAACTATATGTATCCTTCTCTTCCTTGTCCTGCAGCACAGCTATGTCTCTACAAATATTTAGATTTTATTCTGTGAAGATTACTGGTTCTGCGATGATGTTGTAGAGGAATACTATAAATCTTACAGTTGCTGTGAGAATGAACTTCCATTTGTAGAGATGATATTTTCTCAGCCCTATTCTTGGTAACACTGGGCGGAGAATAAATTTTCTTCTTTTTTTTGCTCCCCCCCTTTATTTTTCTTTTTTTGTTTTTAATTTTGCATTGGTGTTTCTGAATTCTGGACTGATATTTCCTTTCCTATGAGATTATGGGAATCTTCAGCAGTTTCACTAAATGAAGTTAGAACACTTAAAATATTTTTAGAAGAGGGAAAAAAATAGTGCTTTGTGAATTCAACTAGAAATTACTTTGTATTATCTTCAAAGGTTTGTAATGCCCAAATTTCAAAGTTTATTTCCCTACAAAAGTTCTTTCAGATAGTGAGAATAACAGTCTGTACTCTCCATTGGCCTGAGAAATTGTGATTTTAAATAGATTTCTGTGTTTATTTAAAGAGACAGAAGTTAAGGGAAAATACATTGAAAAACATACAAACCTGTATACTCGCTTTAGCTATATTGTAAGTTTGTAAAAATCAAGTCACAGCATATATTTTTTTTTATGGGTTATGATTTGACTCTTAGAGAGAGCCACTAGATTTTCTGAGATGATTTGCCTTTTTGGTATGCTGAGCACTTACTTTCTTTTTGGGATAAGAGTTTTACACACCTTTCCATGGAGTAACTCTTTAATACTGCAATTTTGACAATAATATGCTTCCATAATTTTATAATGAGTTGTTACAAATATACAGCGGTGCTATCAGATGACACAGCTATATTATAAAAGTCAAATATCATCACCACCCCTTCCTATTATCTTTGTTAAAGATTTTCTGATTATCCAAATGTCTCAACAAAACTGCCACCAGTTTTCATTAAAACCACCTGGTGGAGAAATGTTTCCATCTGTAACACCCACATGCAAATCTGTAATTTTCCCTGAAAGTGAAGCTGAGAATCAGTGCTGCAAACTAGGCTACCTTCAGTCCTGGGCTGATCAGAGGCCGGATATGTGCTGTCTCATGAATCATAAGGGCTAAAAAGGGTGCAGCATTTCTCTCCTGTTCTGGATGTCCTGATAGCAATGAAAGTTTCTAAAACAGTTCTTGTAATTTTCCTTTCCGGCACTCCTCATAGCAGAAAACAATAGGAAGAAATATTGGTTAAATGACTATATTCTTCACACAGTGGTGATAGAATTGTGGATCCAGGGGAATTTGAAGTGCTTGTGTGAGTGGACTATATGGATTTCAGGAGAAGTGGAAGCAGTTAGGGTTATCAGTAAAGAGGCTGTGTCCCTCCCCTTCAGGTCTGTACCTCTCTGTCTTCCTGATCCCTGTTTGTGACTCTGAGCTAAAAGCCTCCTTGTAAACCCTCTCTGCCAGTTCATGCTGACATCAGCACGTACTGCAGCGTGCCAGCCGTGAGCAGGGCGCTCTTACAGGCGCAGGGCTATGGACACTGAGCTGTTCTCACTGCCTGCACTGGAGCGTGGCATGCATCCTTCCGTCTGAGACCACCTGCTCGCTGCTTTCCAGGAACTTGCCCTGTCTGTCAGTTTGTTGGTCTGCTGAGTTTCCTTCAGCTGTGTGGGGCTAACAGAGCTTGTCACCCCGCTAGGATAAAGATGTACATCTTACACTGGCCAGAGTGACTTTGTTTTTCTAGGCACACCTGGTCAGCGGCAGGGACCTTGTCTTCCCCGCACCCTTCTGATACCAGATTTCACACTGCTGTGGGCGGTGTTTGTGGAAGGGGAACACTTTGCTGTCCTATGACTTGTTGAATACAATGGAGTAATGTGTTGAGGAGTTTGGGCTTTTGTGAAGGTTCCTTCTTTTGCATGTTTTACAAACAGTTGTTCCTTGGCTTGAGGAGCACTTTGCCATTAACTGATTGCCTTGAAACTGCCTTCACATTCAAAGGCAATTTCTGCTTTCCTTCTGTAACAGGGACAGTGTCATCAGGTATTCCTGAGACCATATCCATGCCTTCATTCAATGGACTGTGGTCCCAGTCTATTGCATGGCACTGAAGACTCAAATCCACATAAACGCTTTGATGCTTGCCAGGCACTAAGTAGAAACTGAAACCTCTTCAGTGCAGTCTCACAGTAGGGAGTAGGAAGTAGGTCCTCTATCTCATCTTGGAGCTTCAGAGCTTTGTATTTTGTTTCTCTGTGGCTGGGAGAGCAGCACTTTCCTATTTGCCACACCTTGGAAAACTGCATGGAGAGCAGTCTGTTGGGTAGATGAGGCTTTACCACAGTATGCTCAACTCTCATCCACTCTTGTTTCCCTGTTTCACACTGACTTTGCAAGATTTTGTGCATATCTCTGAAAATTATAGTCTTTATTATCTCTTTTAATATCACTTGGCCTTAGACACCCAAGCTTTTGATGTTCTTGTATGAATAAATGTTTGCATAGAACAGTAGTAACATGGCCTCCTCTGCAGACTAATTCACATTGGAGGCATTTTTTGCTGTTTTACTTGGTAGATACTCCTGTAGCTGGAATGGAAGAGTTTAATATTGGGTGGCTGATGTCTAGCCTGAAGTCCAGATATTGCCCAACAGGTGACTGATATGACTAAAAAATTGTGAAGAAGCATGAAAGAGTAAGTTTTCAATGAGACTGAAGAGCAAAACAAACTGTCATTTGCAAAAGTGTGTGCGTGTGCAAAATTGAAAGAGAAAAATAGTTTGAAGATTTAGAGTGTACATTTAAATACTAGGTAGCCTGAGACAACTATTTTGCTTGTGGGTATAAGGTGCCTTGAACTGAAAAAAACCACAGTTATGTACAGCAAACTTCAATCACAGAGAAATCACAGAATTATATATATGTGTGTACTTAAGATGAAGTTTGCTTATATGAAGTTGTGTGCCTTATCTCATTGGGTTAGGCAAGTGCTAAGTGGAAACTATGGCAGCTGAGAACACAGCTAGTTGAGTTCCAGTTCTTTTCAAATTTTGGCCAGTAATTAGGAAGTGGTTCCTAGTTACCATGGCATTCATTTGCTGGAGCAAATTGATGGGACATAAGAAGGCTGTGAGATTGTTGGCTGAGGTAGTGGCAGTAGTAGGAAAGTTAACTAAGATACAGGAGGTGCTTTGTAGTTTTGTACCTCTAATTGAGTAGCTTCAGTAGAGGGGTAGCACGTACTTGAAACCTTCCCATCTTAAAAGTTATCTCAGGATTTTTCATGGCAGTTAATAATTAGGGAAAAATTGATGCTAACACCCTATTTTGACCAGCTAGTATGGCACA